GGCCAGAATAAGCTCCTCATGAAGAAGCGATTGTTCCGTTTTAAGTACCGGCATGGCACATCGATGAATGACCACGTCACTGCATTCAATCAATTGGTTGCAGATTTGTTGAACTTGGACGTCACATTCAACGATGAAGATTTGGCTCTTATGTTGTTATCATCACTTCCAGATGACTTCGAGCACTTATAGACTACTCTGCTCCATGGAAAGGACGATGTAACTCTTGCAGTGGTCAGTTCTGCTCTGTATAGCTATGAGTTGAGAAAGAAGAACAAACAAGAGACGAAGAATGCAGCAGCAGAAGATGAAGCGTTAGTCGCAAGAGGTCGATCGAAGAGCCAAAAGAAGAATGGACGAGGAAGATCGCGTTCCAAAGCCAAGCTTGAAAAAGACGAGTGTGCTTTCTGCCATGAGAAGGGACACTGGAAGAGAGACTGTCCTAAGTTGAAGAAGAATGGCAAATCTCCTCAAGATGCATATGTTGCTGAGGGTGGAAGTGAAGACTCAGAATTTTCACTTGTGGTTTCATCTTCCTCATCTCATCCAGACGAATGGATTTTGGATTCAGGATGCACCTACCATATGTCTCCCATAAGGGATTGGTTCTTCAATTTTTAGAAGATCAACAGAGGGGTTGTCTATATGGGTAATGATAATGCTTGTAAGACAACTGAGATAGGTTCAATCCGTTTGAAGAATCGCGATGGTTCCACCAGAGTTTTGACGGATGTTCGGTACGTGCCGAGTTTGAAGAAAAACCTCATCTCATTAGGAGCCTTGGAATCCAAAGGCTTGGTAGTGACTTTGCGAGATGGAGTTATGGAGGCTACATCCGGCTCGCTCGTGGTGATGAAAGGCATCAGAAAGAATAATTTGTATTACTATGAAGGTGATACAGTTGTTGGGATAGTAACAGTAGCAGATTCCACCAACAAGGAGTCTGAAACAGTCAAGTTGTGGCATATGCGTTTGGGACATGCTGGTGAAAAGTCCTTGCAGACATTGGCAAAACAAGGACTGTTGAAAGATGTCAAAGTGTGCAAACTAGACTTTTGTGAGCATTGTGTTTTGGGAAAGCAGAAAAGAGTGAAGTTTGGAATGGCTATCCATAATACCGAAGGTGTCTTGGATTATGTTCATTCGGATGTTTGGGAACCTTCTAAGACCCCATCATTAGGCGGAAAGCGCTATTTTGTCACTTTCGTCGATGACTTTTCCAGACGTGTTTGGGTGTACACTATGAAGACGAAGGATGAAGTGCTTGGTGTTTTCATTACATGGAAGACACAAATTGAGAACCAGACTGGAAGGAAGATCAAGGTCCTACGAACGGATAATGGTGGAGAGTATACAAGCGATCCCTTTCAAGAAGTTTGCCGTAAAAATGGCATTGTTAGGCACTTCACCGTTAGACGGACACCACAACAAAATGGGGTGGCGGAGCGCATGAATCGAACATTGGTGGAGAAAGTTCGATGTATGTTGTCCAATGCTGGTTTGGGCAAGGAGTACTGGTCCGAGGCTGTAATATATGCGCAACACCTCATAAATCGTTTGTCGTCATCTGCAAAAGATGGTAAAACACCGTTAGAGGTATGGTCGGGGAAACTTGTTGCTGACTATGGATCTTTACATGTCTTTGGGTGTCCTATGTTCTATCATGTGAAGGATTCAAAGTTAGATCCAAGAGCGAAAAAGGCTTTGTTCATGGGAATCACAATTGGCGTGAAGGGATATCGTCTTTTGTGTCTTGAGACGAACAAAACTGTGTTTAGCAGGGATGTTACATTCGATGAACAAAGTATGATGAAGACGACGCAAACCCAACAGGTGGAGTTGACACCGAAGCAGGTGGAGATAGATGTGATGACAAGACAACCAACTATGATCGACGAAACAATATCAAACGATTCGTCGGATGATGAAGTTCAAACTCATGGATCATTAAATTTACCCATTGCATTGAGAAAGCCCAGACGAGAGATTCAACAACCTGCTCGATTGGCAGATATGGTGGCTTATGCACTTCCAATTGTTGATGATGACATACCTTTCACTTTTCAAGATGCAATTTGAAGTTTAGAAAATGAGAGTGGAAATGGGCTATGGAGGAAGAAATGTTGTCTCTCCAGAAGAATCAAACTTGGAAGGTGACGCAACTACCAAAAGGCAAGAGGGCGATAGCATGCAAGTGGGTATTTGCAAAGAAAGATGGATTTCCTCAGAAGAATGATGTGCGCTACAAGGCAAGGTTGGTGGCTAAAGGCTACGCTCAGAAGGAAGGAGTTAATTATAATGAAGTGTTTTCTCCAGTTGTAAAGCACTCTTCCATTAGAATTTTGTTGGCCTTAGCAGCACAGTTGGATTTAGAGCTAGCTCAACTTGACGTGAAGACGGCGTTCTTACACGGAGAATTGGATGAGAAAATCTACATGACTCAGCCAGAAGGATTCAAAATTCTTGGAAAAGAGAATTGGGTCTGTAAGTTGAACAAATCATTGTACGGACTGAAGCAATCTCCGAGGCAGTGGTACAAACGGTTTGATAAGTTTATGATTGGGCAGAAGTACACGCAAAGCAGACATGATCATTGTGTGTATTTACGCAAGATGCGAGATGGATCTTTCATTTACTTACTCTTGTATGTGGATGATATGTGTTGGAGTAGTATACCCGGCGTTCCAATCAGATTGGACGTATTCTACTTATAAATACAATCTATTGGAATTATATTAAATAATAAGGCATTACTTTATTTTAAGAGTAAGCATTTATCATATATTTGCACTTAAGATAAAATCCCTAGATCACTTATAGCTATAAGATATGGTTGCGCATAGAGATGGTGATCATGGAACATTTCTTGAAAGCTATGATCTTAAATACAGTTCCAAGTCGTTGGATGTTTCGAGATGGG